TTTGTTACACCGAAATGTGTAGTTTATTTCCTGATCAGGAAACCACAGTAAAAATACTTTTTTGAAAAAGGGGACATATCAGGTTTTGCACAGAAGGATTCCATACTTTTTAGCTTAGATAGGTATAGCCGTATAGCGGTAGGTACAAATATTTACCATAAGTGCCAATTTACACTTATGAGTTTGTAAATTTAAGTATTAGTAACAGTTGAAATTCACTAACTTTTAACTTGCACATTTAATTATTAATCTGTAACTAATATGAAATAATGACAAGTCGCATAATATATTATGTTGGTAAATTTCAACCCATATTAATAGTTAAATTTACAAATCATAAATATGAGTAAACTTCAACCATAGACCTACTGATCATTTTACACATTAAATAGGTAATACAATATTAATTCAACTTCGATATGATTTTAAATTTACAAGTAATGCGAATATATAATAATATAGTACCTATTTATATTAATAGGACGAAAACGATAAGTTTTTCGATGCGGAATCGAAAAGTTTTCGGTCCGTGTCCGATGATGAATTTGTAAGTTGTCGGAGCATGATGTCCAGTGTGGAATCTGTAAGTTTTCGAACCGTGTCCGATATGGAATCTGTTATTTTTCGGACCACGTCCGATGTGGATTCGGAAGTTTTCGGACCATGCCCGATGAAAACTTGAACGACAACACAAAGATCGTAAAATCAATAGGAGGTCAGTTTTCCATATGATATTGAGTATAATTTTTTAATTAAAACTATTTTCATATAATTCCATACTTTCTAGAACTGTATATGGACGTGGTGGAAAAGCAGGCGTTCGAGGACCTACAAGTATGAAACTAAGAACGGCTTTGGAACAATCGAATGTAATCATATAATATCGCAGTAATCATATAAACGGTTTTGATTTGATTTTCAGCATAACTTTAAAGTGGTTGAAATGAATTGTTTGGCGTTGAAACATCACGTGGCTGACGCAATGTATACCTTTCAACAGACGGCCGACGATCAGCGCCTATCGATCGACAGCCTGAAATTGGAAGTGTCTTGTCTTAAAAAAGATTTGAACCGTTTGACCTCCGATCTGCTGAAAAATACAGAGATGCAGTCCACGGAAAGTAATGTTATATAATATATCGACCTGACTATACCCATAACAGTGTAATACATTAGTCGTTTCCGTTCGTTTAGCAAACACCGAAAAACCCGACTGTTGCAAGCTACGTAGACTGAAGCCAAGGGTCTCGGTTCTTGAAAGTAATATAATATAGAAAAATAACGGTTAATAGATAGGTAATAGAGTACTAAAGACGTGTGCCCGTGTAGGTGATGTGATGAAAAACTCGATAGATATCGTTGGAATAAACCACATGCTGATGTCAATGTTGCCGAGCTCGGGAGCTGCCGCTGAAAATGATGTGTCGGCAGGAGAAAACCTTTTCGAGCTGGACACTCTGAACGCGCAATGCCACAAACCTACCTCGCCGACGACGTCCGCATCCTTTACACTCGTCGCAGGCCCGCCTCCTGCGAAAACCTCGGAAAATTTTTGGCCGCCACCTCCACCTCCTGAAGTAACCTCGGAAAACTTTTGGCCGCCACCTCCACCTTCTGAAGTAACCTCGGAAAACTTTTGGCCACCTCCTCCATCCCATGCTGTAACCGCAGAACATTTTTGGCTGCCTCCTCCGCCTCCTGCTGTAACTTCGGAAAACTTTTGGCCACCTCATCCGTCTTTTGCTGTAACCTCAGAACATTTTTGGCTGCCTCCTCCGCCTCCTGCAGTAACTTCAGTAAACTTTTGGCCACCTCCTCCGTTTCATGCTGTAAATTCAGAAAATTTTTGGCTGCCTCCTCCGCCTCCTGCTGTAACATCGGAAAATTTTTGGCTGCCTCCTCCGCCGCCACCGATGACGACCGGCACGGCAGCGTTCCGCCGTTATACCTTGCTGTGCAGAAGATATTAATAAGATAATGTATAATATATTCCATTTGTGTAACATATTATTATGTATTAGGTAAGTGTATTTCTGTGCATAAATGAATAAACCGGTTTAATAAAATATACCCGAGGTATTTGTTTTATAATGTAGGTTTTAAAATTACATTTACAATATTATTATGAGTTATTAAAGTCTCACTATAAGACTTTAATCATTTTTAAGTCCTGAAAAACTAAATGCATAATAGGTGTAGTTAAGAATTTTGATGGAAATGTGGTCATATAACCAGTGTTGAGACTTATTTAGATAATTTATCTAGATAATTATTTAGTTATCTTTTATCTTATAAGGATCGTGCGCATCCGTGCGTGGAGCCGAGGGGAAAGAATTGCAAACTTACTGCCGTGTGTTCATAACGGAGCTGAAGAGAGTTTGAGGGCCGTCGTCCTCAAGCCTGTAGCCCGTCCGACTTGAAGATCTCTTCCGTTATAGGTATACGGCAGTAGGTAGTAGGTGCGTGACATTTCCGTCCGGCATATCTATAGATAATTACAATAGAATAGCTTGACCAATAGCTTGACCAATGTATCAGCTATGAACCATTTATAATTTGTGTCATTTTTCTTAATTCTTCTATTCTATTGTAATTATCTATAAATATGCCGGACGGAAAGTCACGCACCTACTACCTACTGCCGTATACCCAGGGCCGTCCGGACGATTTGCGGGGCCCAGGGCAGAGTAAATTTGTGGGGCCTAAAATGTCATTATCGTCAGTTGGCAATTGCATTTATTTAAATATTTAATATTATGAATTATGATATATACCTACCTAGGTATAAGGGGGCTACGCTCAAATATACTTAGAAATATAGTACCTTGTACTTACAATTATATGAATAAGTAAATTAATTAATAACATAACACGTAATATATTTATACTTAATATAATAATATTGATAAATTAATAAGTCTATAAATATAGTAGGCACCTAATACAATATGAAAAAAGGTGGACAAGTGGGTACCGTGCTGTACAGTGGGTGTCAAGAATGTCGTTGTAATGGATGTGTTATATTTAAATTACATTGATAAATTATTGTAAACGAAAAGATATTCTGAGCGGAGACATTGTATCAGCCTAGCACACTTGTAAAAATAATCAAATTTAGTAGCTAAAAAGAAATTAACAAAGATCAAAAACGTGACTTTCTGGGGAACTTTTTTAGTTTGATAGAATTACAAAAACTTGTTGGAAACCTCTATTAAAATGTCTTAAGTTAGGTATGAAAAAAAAAACTTTTTTGAATTTTGTCAAAATTGGAACTTTATAAGCATATAACAAATAATTGAACCTATGTATTTTTAAAACTTCCATTAATGAAAATTATAAGGAACCTATCATTACATTTTCAAGATTTTTTACTATATACTTTTTTACTTATAGCTAAGTTGTTGTTTTTTTGGGGGGGGGACAGAGCGCTTTGAAGAATTTTATCATTTTCACTTTGAAAATTGAATTTTAATCATATTAACTCGTTTTAAATGCAATACATTTATTTGACGACTGCGGACTGATGTCAATTAATATAAGTAGGGTATAGCCGTAGGTATAGGCAGTAAAAATTACAGCAATTGAAGATATGAAAATATATAAATAATAATTTTTTTTTCTCATTAACTTTCTATTTTATGGTATCTACAAAAGCGGGGCCTGTCAAACTGGTGAAGGCGCGGGGCTCAGGGCGAGGGCCCCGCTCGCCCTGCCCTAGGGACGGCCCTGAGTATATACAATACATGCATAGGTACAACATGTACATTATAATATGTACTATATAAATAAATAATACATTAATAGTTAATACCTTTGTTTATTAGCTTAAAACATTAGTTAATCATTATATAAATACATTACTCAATAAATAAACTATTTATTAGTCCTTTCCAATGAAATAAATTTAAAGTTAAAATTAGTTAGAATTATTAAATATACCTGCAGATATAATAATATAATATATGTTTAAGAGTTTATGGAAGTTAGTTAGGAATTTAGGATAGGTTTCATAGACACACCATCAGTATATCCTATTGGTTCAACCGTGTATATTATAAATAAATTTATAAGTATAATATATTTATTAGTATAGTTTATAATAACATAACATATCCTAATAATAGAGTAATATGTATATTAAAATTAAAATTGGAATTATTTGCAAATAAAACTCAGGATTGTTCTTAAAGGAATGATTAAGGAAAAATTACAAAAACTGATAAATATAATAAAACAATAAATATATTATATTAATACATTAATATTTTGTGAAAAAACATATATACATTTTTAAATGTAGAAAATACATACATGAATGTTTTTTAATAATAGGTAGATACTTAATAATTATTTTTCTTTTATAATGAATACTGTAAACTCTCAACTTAGTTTGTATAATTTCATCATGTGACATAATGAATTGTATAAAATAATTGTTTATTATTCAAATAGTTTTTATTTTGATTATAAATTTTACTGTAAAATATGAATGTGCCTATTTTACACTGGCCTTAATGGTAAAAATGTAACTTGTAATTTGTAATTTGTATATGTTATTATTATGTCATAATATAATGAGTTAAGTTATGAGAAAACAATCAACTTCAATGATGTTATTTGTATCAATATTCAAAATATATTGTTTGCCGATTCACTGATCACATTCATAGATGAAAATAATACATCAATACATCAATATAAATTTTAATAAATATATATACATATGTACCTAATTTTTAAATTATTACTTACAGTTTACAAGTTTACCTATGCATACATTTAATTGTGTTAATTTTGGACATTTAATATTTAATAGTTATCATAGAGTTGAGTATCAACTGAATAAGTTAAGTTTTTTAATATTAAATATTAACATAGCTATAAGTAAATAAAAATAAAAAAACACACATAATATAAAATCAAACTTAAAACACATTAATTTTTTTTACCATAATACTGTATAAATAGATCGGTGGATTATGTTAATAATTATGTTCATTCTATAGAATAATAATACCATGGTCTCTTTGAAGTCTTCGTTTTGCAGTTGTAGACACAACACCCATTATATCTGACGGTGTTGGTAGACCGCTTACAATATTGCCACTTTGTTGATAAAACAATTCTCGGCTGCCACATTTATTTCCATAAACAATATTATCATCATTTCTGTAACAATGAATTTATTTAGTTTTAACAAAACATACATAGTTAAGGTTCATTAGTCTACCTGATGATGATATCGAGAACCGAAGGTTTTTTTTGGAAAGTATCGTGTATAGATGTGGCTAAAATTGTTTGTGAACCTAACCAGTTACCATGCTTGTCAATCATACCAGCATTGGTTGTGTCCATTACCATGTAGCCATAAGTTTCATCTGTACCTTGTAAATTATATGCATCCGGGACATTTGTGATTGTGTTATTTATAGAGTGTTCTAAGTCTCCAAGATTGTTAAAACTTAAATTCCACTAAAATAAAATAAAAATTACATTTATTTGTAATTATTATTAATACTAATACCTACTAATAGATGAATTAGCTCAGCATCATTTTCTGCTTCTTTTTCTAATAACACCATTATTGAAGTATTTTGAAAGCCAGCAACAAATAACAACAGTTTTTGATGGCTGGCAGTATTAGTTTGTGGTTGAAAACTTGTAGGAGTTCTGCATATGCTCTCTGTAGGTGTGGCAAAATTATATGATTCTGCCATGCTAAGTTTAGCCATCAAAGGTGTCATTATATCTTCTTTAAGATTAGGTTTTCTATCTAAATAATAACTTTATTTTAATATGTGTATTTAGGTTATAAATGAAAATATTGAATATTTACCAAGTGCTTGTAAATTCAATGGTATGGAAGTTGGTCTTACTGGTTTTTTTGATTTCAATATTTTTTCTAAATCAATGAATATTATTTTTAACAAAATATAATTTAAAGATAATACAAAACAATTTTAATTGAACCTTTTTCAATCTGTACTTTAAGATCAAGATCAGTATAATGTTGAGATAGTTGTTTATCATAAAGTGCTTTTGAAACAGCATAGTCGTCATCACGCAATAATGGGAAATATGGGTCACATAATGTTCTATATTTGTCACTATGTTTGGAATTGTCATAATTTATAGTTTTAGGTAACAACCTAAGACTCTGATACCTTGTTGTGTCTTTTCTGGAACAAAAGTTATAATTTCATAAACAACACAATATAATGAAAACTAAATGTTATACCTTAAAGTAACGAGTTTTGAGAAATTTGGCATTTCATTCAGAGATGATTCTAGAGAAGAACATTTTCCAGCATTAGATTTGTCTAATCTCTTTTCTGCTTTGATAATAGATTCCTTCACAATATCTGGCATACTACAGATTGATCCACTATTACTATCTGGGGTATCTTCTTCTTCGACTGTGAACATATTTTTATTTTCTGGGTTTTTGTCATTTTTTGGACAGTCTTGTGACTTGTCAGCCATCTGCATTAGTCGGTATATGATTTTTTTAAATTTAAATTATTAATTTGCAAAGTTATATTGTATAAATATTAAATACCTTATTTTTTTGTCGCCATTTTGATGTTTTTTTCACGGATTGTTTCAGTGAGGTAGCTGTTTTTCTTATTTGTAATACTTCTTCCCTATCCACAAAAATGTATAAGAGTTGAGTACCTAATGGTAAATGAAAGCTTCCTTTTACATTTTCAGCTGGTATCTGTAATAAATGAATCAATTTTAGATAATTGTTATATAATTACTGATAGTAAAAATGACTAATAAAGTTGTAAGTATAAAACAGCTAAACAAAAATTATTAAAAATTATTTTATGATAAAATGAAAGTTAAATAATTTAGATTGAAATGCCAACCTTATTACAGAAAGGATTTGTCAGTTGGATTAATTTGGTTAGTTCAAATCCAAATTGAGTAACAACAATCCTAGAAATCAAAGTAGAATTAGACATATTAAAATTTTGAAATGACAAATTATATACTTATTTTGATGTAATAACATTCCACCTAAAACCTTGTTTTTTTCTTGCATACTTTCAAGTATTTGCATTGCTTCCAAAAGAATATTTCCTCCACTCTGAAAAATGTAAAACAAATAATGACATAAAAATCAAAATATTACTATTACGGACATTACCTTGGGAAATTTAAATACTGCCGGGGTACCAAACATGTTTGAAGAAATTAGTAGAAGTGAAAGATATGATGAAATTACTGTATTTAACTGTTCACTGAGAATTTTATGATCTAAGATCTCAGTTATATTAAAGTGAAATGTAACTAAAATATTGTATAAAGTGTTGGCTCGATTTTGCAAAACACTGTCTGGAATATTTCGATCTGTTCCAACACACTATAACAGAAAAAGTAAAAGAAATAATAACACATATTATTTATAGTTTAAGAAGTAATCTCTAATTACCAGTGTTGAAGAACCAAATTGCCGAATAGCAAACTTTCCAGAACGTAATGCTAATACTGAAGGAGATGAGAAAACTGAAGATGAAAACTTGACAATTCCCATTAGTTGTCCACTTAAAGCAAGCTTTTGCGAAGAGCTTACCCATGGGGGATGAAAATATAAAATAGAATTTTGTGGATCATCAGCTTCAGTAGTACAGAATCGTGGGTCGTAAATAAATACAATTAAAAGTTCTCTGAAACACATAATTTAATCAGAATGAATACAACCAAAAAGTAATAATTTAAGTGTACTATTTGAAAAATGTTTCCATACATAATATTAAATAAAATGTCAAATAATTTAGTAAATAATAATAATAATAATAATCAGTAAAGACTGAAACGTTTCAAATTTCACTTTGGTAGGTACTTTAGTTGAACCATTGAATATTTATTATAAATACTAGTATTTATAATCACTGGTTGAACTAATGGTATTCCCAAGTAGCAACGAATAGGCACGGATTAATCAGCCCTCAGAATTTAATGAATTCTAACATTTGACTACAGTTACAGCTTCTAGGTAAATGGTTGAATAATTCAATTCAATTTTATTTTCTACTATAATGTTTTGTACTAATTTCTCACTCTTACATAAAAATAAAATTACAGCCATGACCCGCACACTGAGGTTTTCTCAGAAGCTGGCCGGCCCACTCTGGCCTGTACAAAACCTACAATAACTACACAGTGTTACTACATCAAATATCTATTAAAAAATCTTTAAAAATCCACTGTTGTACCTACATGGATTTTACCAACATTATTTATCTTTTAGTATTCCCATGGACCTTATTCCTCAATTTAGGAATACCTAATTTAAAAATATATTTTGTATATTATCAAGAGCTGAGAACTAAAACAACATTTTACAGATTATAAATCTTTGTTGTTTATGGACGATTGATGATTGCGTTAAAGGTGGTCAATGCTTCTATAGTTCTATTTTACTAACAACATTTTTATCATGTGGTGGTGCAAATATTATGCTTACCTCGACATGGCGCCAGCTTCTAGACACTTATTTCGGGCGCAAAAAATTTGGTAAGACACTACACCGCGATAGTAAACTTAGAGATCTAGTCCACAAGCCCAATACCAGTGGTACACTGGTCGCCGGATACCATGATAACCAGATCACGACGACGACAGATGCAGCAACAAACGAATTTCACGGAATCGTTAATGAATATTATTCGGCGTTACGTAACCTGTGACGCCACTGGCATCTAAGGAGGCTGGGATCCATTCGCAATTCAGTCGCCTGAAAAGAACGATGGGTGAGAAACAAAGGTAGAGGGGGACAGTGGCGATTTAGTGATTAGTTGGATGGCATTTGAATGAAAAGTGAAAACAACAATATAATATTATTATTAGTATCCATTATATTATACTATACAATACTCTATCCTCAACAACCAAATTCAAAATATTACAATATTGTATAATAATAATATTAGTATTGTATTCTGTAATATCACAGTCCACAGATCAGTAGATCACTGTTTTGAGATAAGAATAAAAATTACAATCGCCAATCTCGGCCTGGATTATTGATTGTACACATTGAAATATTGAAAATCTGTGTTGCTCGTAAATCGGGCTCTACACACGATCAACTTTAAATGTCAATAATTATTCATTAAAACAATTTTGATATTTTCGATAGACGGTAAATAAAAAAATATAATTATTATATCGTGTACGGCTCAATTACCAAATAGAAGTGTTTATTATTTAATATCTTTAATCGTGGTTTATACCACGAAAAGGTACTGATACTGATATCCATGGTTTATACCAAATTACCAACTGACAATGATTGCAGTACAGAATGCAGATTGCAGTCAAATAGAGTGGGGATAATATTCTGACCCCATCGCGGTCGGTGGTTGAGTCGCGCCGCCGCCACCACCGAACCGTTGTTTCAAGTTCCACCCGCCGACGAGACCGTTTCGTGTTTCTGCGCTTGCGCGTCAACGTCCGTGTGCATGTTTAGTACACAATACACATTACACATTACACACAGACACACAGTACGCTCTGCAGTACAGAGTGACTGTACCGAGTGTGCCGGAGAACCGCATTCTTTGGCCGACCGCTGGAACGTTATATATATGATATATTTTATTACGTCCGCTGCGCCACCCGTGTCGTCACCGTCCCGTCATCTGTAGTTGTTATTGTACTGCCGACGTTTTTATCGGCCCGTTATTGTTGTTGTTACTTGTTGTTATTATTATTAATATTTTGTTTTTATTTATTACCACGTTTGATTGATAAACGCACCCGCACGTTCCGATTGTGACGATCGCCCGAAAACCGTTAGATCGCGCAAACGGCCGTTGCGAGCGAGATGGCTTTTGAAACGCCGCAACAGGTGTCCGCCACCGCCGGCCTTTGTGGCGAGACATGCCGAAGCAACCGACTCGTGTGCCGCGATTCCGACAGTGGGTAGGACGCGAAAAGGTGTTGTACTTACGTGCGCGTGGTCGACAAATTTTTCCATTTCGTCACGATTGTTGTTTAGTGTAAGTTCGGTTTGTTTCGTCGTCCGATTGATACGATTTTCCCGTGCGCCCGACACACGATGGAAGAAGAAGAAAGAAATTACCGCCTATCTTGCACGCAGAGGACTTATGCGCTTGCCGTCACCGTCGTCTTGCTGCTGTCCACCATCACTCGTTGTGAATGCCGTAAGTGTAGTACCTAGTTCTCTCTACAATGACCACATCCCAACAACAAGTAGTCAACATGTATGTCGTTTTATGTTCACAGAGTCCTATCAGGCCCCTCGGTTCATAACGCAGCCAACGTCAACTAAAAATGTGATTGGCGAAGGACAGACAAAAATAATTCAGTGTCAAGCTCTTGGTTAGTTATCAAACAAAAAATACTTAATAATTATTATAAAATAAAATTCAACCATTATAATTTGGTCTAGTTTGTCTAGTTCTTACAAACTGCAGTCCAAGGAATGGCTTATATGTTCATCCTAAAATAAATTAACTAGATATTGATAAGTTGTATCCTCCATTCCCTCATTATCCTCTACTTACTTGCAAACAGGGATGCAAACCAATCATTTACTCACATAGAATTTACCATAATATTTTCAATAAAGATTTCCACCTACCTATTTAAGAGAACAGTTCAGAATACCTACCTACCTCCAAAATTACTGATGGTTCTATTGTTTTCTGTTTAAATAAGTATTAAATACTTAATTCAATTGTAATCACAAATAATTTACTGTGTTGAACACGATGACCAAAAGAAATATTTTATATCCCAATGGACAATTTAATGTTTTTATCCCAAAAATCATATTTACTGGCTTGAAATTGCTGAACATAATAGTTGCACATTCAGGTAATCTTGCACGATTATTACTTACCAGTTATACTTATAATACATAGGTACCTACACATTCTTAAAATTTAATTTCCATTCAATATTATATTAGGTAGGTACGGGTAGGTACCAATATTTTGATATTGTTATAGGTACCTATAATATTGTTGTTAGTTATTTAAAATGTATAAGTTGTATTATCTTTTTATAAACCATACACTGTCTATTGAAATAATTAAAATATTAAAATCATTAAGGTGACAAATTTTAAACTTAGAAAATAATCAAGAATTAATACTATAACCTATGTTTTACCAATCTAATTAGTAACTAACAGAGTAACTACCTATAATATGATATAGTTCTAAGAAAATGGCAAAAAAAATGTGGGCGAGTTGGTAGCTCTCTGCTGTACATTAGGTGTCGTATGGCTCACTACAAAAATGGACGTGTTAAATTTGAATTCAATTTAATTGTATCATTGTACCTATACCCTATACAAAAAACGATTTTGAGCTATACTGATCTGTCTATATTAGTTACTAATGTATTATATTAATTTTGATATAAATGTAATTAATTTTCCTTATAGGTAGGTAGGTTGAATTAAGTTTTATAAAAAACTTTGAATTCGCAAATGTCATTGTTTATGTAAAATATAATAATATTATATACCTAAATTATAATATATTAATTATTTCAAGTACCACAAATAATATTTCTAAATTACATCAAAATAAGTAATAACTAAATTTGTTATTCTTTGTCATCATGTACCTACTACTTACTGTAAAATGTGCTAATATAAACATCATTTGATGAAAATTTCAAGTTATCTACGGTTATTTGTTCATGAGTTACAAAAAACAATATTGATTTTATCAAAAACTGGTACTTTCTAAAAATTCCCGTTTTTCCTTAATTATTGTTTTGTTTTTCTCGATTATTTTAGTAAGTACCTACTGAAACCAGCCACAAAGTTAAAAATCATACCATTTTTACTGCCCCAAAATGTGATGAGAGTTCCAAAAAAAAAAAAAAAATTAAAGAAGCACACATCATTGTAAAATCAATAAGTACCTACCTACAATAATCGTTAGGCTCAGAATTTAAAATATTAAATTCGCAATTTTGACGAATTTTCAAAATCATTAAAATATAAAATTTATACTCTAATAAAATGTAGTGTATTATAATATTATGTATATAATGTAATGAATTTTAAAACTAAAAAACGTTTGAGAATTTTCGTGATTTTTACGAATCTTGTCTATATTTGAAATTGTGACTATAACTCTATTTTCGATTTCTTATGAGGAACTTAGTATTATATTGTTAAACGTTTGTACTTGAATAAAAATGTTATCATACCCATATAAATCTAATAAAAACTAATGAAAGTAGTCATTTTAAAATGTCTATAAATAGCTCAAAAAAATCCAGTGAAATTTAAAAAAAGATTTAGGTACGCTTCGTTTTAAATTACAAACAAAAACAGAATCAATTTTGCTAAAAACTTATTTTGCGTATATTTTCCCATTTTCTCTTAATTTTTTTATGGTTTTCCTCATAGTTTTTAAAAGTAGTGGAAAATTCTTAATTAATATAAATCTTAAGTCCATAAGTATAAATAAAAAAATAATTATTAAAATTGTAAAAGTTTTCATAACACGTAATAATATAATGAGGACGAAAAACACTTTTTTATCAAATTTATTTCCCGGAATAAAAAAAAAACAATCGTATGATGAACACAAAATGAAATAAATGACATTTTGGTTTTTAGATATTCTATATCATAGAATTACAAAATAAGATTAATAATGATCAAATTCAATCTATCATTTGAACCTAATTTAACTATTTAACTCCTGACTTTTAAATTTAACTTTTGAAATTTCTAACTTAGTAACATAAAGCATATTAATACAATTTATTTAATCTTAAATAAAAATAATGTATTCACAGTTTTTATGTTATTAAACATTTTTATTTGTTTATTCGTATTACTTATACTAATATACCTATATACTGGGTGATTCTTTTATCAAACAACACTCATTATTTCAAAAAGTGTAAATTTTTTTGAAGATATTTTTTTACATAGTTTCAAGTCGTTTATAAAACAACGTTTTTATTAAAAAATTATATTTTTAATTATTTTTTATCCTTATCATTTTTTAAGTTTTTTACTTTTTTGAATGACAACATAGGGTTTTAATTTTATATTCTAAAGTAGAATATTTTTCTTAGTTTTTTGATACATGAAAATTGAATTTGGGTTGAGTAGTTTATGAGTTATAAGTATTTAAAGTTTAGACGAGCGGTGAGGTGGACAAACATTTCGCGGGGTAACCCCGAACCACTCCACTCCGCTCGTCTAAACTTTAAATACTTATAACTCATAAACTACTCAACCCAAATTTGATTTTCATGTATCAAAATACTAAGAAAAATATTCTACTTTAGAATATAAAATTAAAACCCTATGTTGTCATTCAAAAAAGTAAAAAACTTAAAAAATTATAAGGATAAAAAATAATTAAAAATATAATTTTTTAATAAAAACGTTGTTTTATAAGCGACTTGAAACTATGTAAAAAATATTTTCAAAAAAAATTACACTTTTTGAAATAATGAGTGTTGTTTGATAAAAGAATCACCCAGTATTATTAAGATACAAAAGTTTTAAATTAAAATTGTCTTTACATTAGTTTCCACCTCGGTTTCCACGTAAATAAATTGTAAAAGTAGGTACTCGTACTTCCGATTTAATTATAATATTATGTTTACTAACTATTACGTATTCTACTTGCAAAGTATCTATAGGTATAAATGTTTCTAGAATAATAATTGTAATAGTTTAACGTATGTAAATAATTACTTGAAACAATATAAGCTGCTACTTGCATAAGCTCATAAATAATAATTATACACCTATTACCTATCACAATACTACAAATTCGTACAGTATATGTAATTCAACCCGTATTATATCATTGTCCAATAATAATTAATAAGGTTTCCGAAGGAAGCATTTAGGGGAACTTTTTGCAGTTCAATATTTTCTATCACTTGAATGGTTTGAAAGAAACAAGCTACATAATGTATATTGTTAGATCAATAATATTAGTTTAAAAAATATTTCTTTTAACTCTTGTTTCAGTTGTTTGTAAACTTGTATAAAATCGTAATTGCAATTTATAAAAACTTATAAATGTTATAAATAATTTCAGTTTACTGAATTATTTCTATTGCTGATATTTAATTAGAATATTTTATTGAGTCTATTAGCCCTGACACAATAACTGGAGTCTACAGTTACTTCATATTATTCTATGACTATCAGGGATATAATTGAAATATATGTAGGTACAATGTACTATGTACATAATGTTATATGCCAACAATATACGGGTGGACGCCCGTGAACCTAAATTTTATGATTTTTTATGTATAAGAAACAAAAATAGAAGGGATATATATATATATATCATAAAAAAGTTTTAAGTTCGGTTAAGTAGGTAATTTATAAGCGATCTCTATAGATATAACCTATGTAATAACGCATTTGAAAGAACATATTATTTAAATTATTATAAATTATAGTACTTTCGTAAAATACGTATATACGTAATACTATTATTCTTAAGCATCGACTATGAATAAGGCCCTTAATACATGTAAGTTATAACTTATAATAAATATATTTTGTATTTAGGAAAATACGATTAGATTCTAAACCGATTCCAATGGCAATAATGGCATATAGGGTGTTTGTTCCTATTAGATACAAATGCTTCAAGTAAAATTATTGTTTTTTGTGGGGTTTTTTTGTTTATAAAATAGTAGTTCTATAATATATCTATATAGTCATTCAAATTCGAGTTCAAATTTCTTTATTAGTATTAAAGCTGTTTTTATCCTAAGAGCTCTATTTATTTACATTTCGGTATTTATTATTTTTCATTCATGATTTCTAGCCTCTTTCGAGTTTGTACTTCGACGTTACTGTTAAGATGATATATTAGGTAAATATAAATAAACAGTAAATAAAAAATATTTGTGGCTTGCTTGTAAAATCAGGCCGAATTTAGTATAGATATATTAGATACGTAATTTTTGAGTAAATAATTATTGCGGACATCGTCTTTACAATCAACATTTTATTAAAGCTTTATAGTTTGTTATAATTTTTACTATTAACTCGTATTATACGTTTGTTCTATAATTCGTGATGCGTATCGTAAACGTACAGTATATGATCGGTTTATTCTATGACCATAAGTATAGGTTAAATATTTTAAAACGGATCTACACTGGAAACAATAAACATATAATATAGGATAATTTATATTCTATAACATAAAATCCTTTCTTTTTTCACCACAAGTACTTATATTTTATTATCAACTGGCTACTACTGAATACTGGTATATTCTGTACCTATATGAAAACAAACATGTGGTGCTGCCCTTCGAAAACTAGTCGTCAGCGACTACGTTTCTTAACTTGAACAG